TAAAATAGATAAATGTAATTACAGATTATTATCAATTTACATTAAACGTCAATGTATATCTAATAATAATAATAATAAAAAAAATATAAAGTTAAAAGGCAAATAATCCTACGAGGTTTTAGGTCCATCCGGTCGATTAATAAAAGGATCATAATCTCGTTCATGTTCTGATAATGATGATCTATCAATTTCTTCAACGTTCTCGTTCATTTTCATTATTATGCTCATCGACTAAAAATGCAAAATAAAGATTAAGATAATCTCTCTCTCTCTCTCTCTCTCTCTCTCTCTTTCTCTCTCTTTCTCTTTTGTTAGAAATAAATCCTCAAATCTTCTTGGTCATCGTAGTATAATTCCTTGAAATAAAAAAAACATGACACAACGTTCGAAGGTTCTTGTTTAATATATACTGCAATATCAACCTTCAGACAATATTATCCGGAAGTTTTCTCGGTAGACTCTCAATAATCTTACCGAGGACGATAAGAAACGTTCAATTCACGTTCAACAACGTTTTTAACGATATGTGTCATTAATTATATTTTTATGTTTTACTTACGCGTATACGTATATTCTAAATACTAATTAACACGAATTTTCTAAGCTATGACATTTATAATACTTCTATATTCTGCTTCTAAGATTTTTCTTTAATTTTTATTTTTATTTTTATTTTTTTGTCTATATATATATAAAAGATAAAAAATGAAGGTTAATCAAAGTAATACAAATGAGATATTTGTTATCAAAGTTACAATCGATACTTTCTATGCTTGCAATAAGATAACAAAACACAAAAATGTACTTTCTCGTTAAAAATATTTACAAATCATCTGGAGGTTACATCACGTTACCTAATAAGGATCATAAGATTGTAATTTATAGCTCGTCATAAGAATAAATTTATATATATATATATACTGGGTGACATTTAACATATATAAATATTCTTGAGTTTGGAGTATTTTTTAGTTGTTTTAAATAAATTTTGTCGACTGAGATATTAAAATAAATCGTATTGCATAAGTGTGTGTTTTTTTAAGTGCATATATGTATCACCTGTTTAAAGGTAAAAAATCATTGGATGATCGAGTTTAAATGCAGGGTAACTTATTACGTGTATTTCGTATTAATTGTTAATTGAAAAATTGATTATGCATTTCTTTTCAATTTCATTTCTCTTCTTATTCATTTTGAAATGAGTCACCCTGCATATAAATACGTATACTTGTGTATGTATATATGTATTTATGTGTATGTCACCTGTTGAAAGGAACTGGCAAGGTAAAGTATGTATATCACGACTGTTTTATACTGTACGAAACAGACGACAACGTTCGTGAACACAGCGAAGGTTTTACCATGCCTACGCGTTCTCTCGGGACCCATAAGAAATGAGACCTCTACGGTTTCAGCAAAATCCAACTTGGGTAAACGATGACGTCGGCAAAGTTCTTGGGCGCACTGCACCTGTGAATGAATTATACAAGAAAAACAGAAAAATTTTAAATGTTAGTTTAATTGGTTTTCGTCAGGATAAAAATAAACAAATAACATAATCAATTTAATTGATGAAAATATGAAAACAAGAATAAGAATAGAAGTATGAATAAAAAAAAAAAAAAATAGAAAAGTAATTATACCGACACACGTGGAAGAATTGAATGAACTTTATAATTGATCGTACTTATTCATAACGGGCAAGGCACGTACCAGAACGACCGAATTGTGCGTGTAAATCAAACCAATAAGAAGACCACAAATGATGGACATCACGTAGCCAGTTCTACGAAAAGCATTAGGTAGAAAGAGAATACCGGTGGCCGTGGCTGCTTTCATTATATGGATAAAAACGCTAAAGTCCCTGAAAAATTGTATAAATATAGACGACACTATAAAAATCTTAGAAGAAAACAAAAGAAAATATATATAGAATATATTTTAGAAATTAAATATTAAATTAGGAAAAATAAAATGACAATATAAAATTTTATGCAATCTTCTTATTAATAATCCAATAAATATAATCCGTTTAATTGAAAAATCTCGTGGTATATATGGGTATATATAAAAATCTTAGAAGAAAACAAAAGAAAATATATATAGAATATATTTTAGAAATTAAATATTAAATTAGGAAAAATAAAATGACAATATAAAANCATTATCTATCTATCTATCTGTTGTTCCTCTCGTTTTTTTTTTTTTCTTTTTTTTTTCTTTTATATCGATCGGATCGCAATCATGTATTTCTTGCGTAAAGCAAAATTCTTCTTCTATGACGTCGTTAATCCCTAAGATGATCGTAGTCTTTTCAATCTAGAAATTAATTGTCGTCGAGATATCTTGTTCTTTCTTTCTTTTTTATTTATTTTTTTTTTTCTTTTTTTTTTAATTATATGGTACGCGATAATTACCAATGATTTAAAATATTTTTGACGTATCACAAGAACGGTTTTTCTATTTCAAAGAAACCCATGTAATTCAAGTGTAATTATTGTATATAAAATACTTACAGTTAAATGTAAATATGTAAATTTATACCACGTACGCAAGCCTTTTTTTCTTCTCACTACGTTCAAGTGTTTTTTTTTTTTTTTTTTTTTAAATTTACATATTCCTTTTTTTCTTCTTCTTCTTTTTTCTTTCCATGTTTTTCCAAGATTCTTCATTTTTATTAATAATTGCATCACATTATCGCACTTGTGTTGTGCTACATATATATATATTTGTGTATGTGTTTGTATGATAAAAAAAAAACAATATTAATATTAATAATGTTGATGATTAAAACCAACAATGACAGTTGTAAGCATACTAATCTATATGATTTATAATACAATGATCGATATGAGGAAGCTGCAATGAAATTCAGATAATATAAAAATAATAAATCATAATGATTATAATATCCGATTATAATAGAAAAATAAATTAAACAGAAAAATATGTATCGTTGCAGGCTGTTGCTTTTTGTTGTTGTTGTTGTTGTTGTTAAATGTGTCATTGTTCTTGTATCGTTATCTTTATTTTTATAATTTTCGTATTAAAAATCGCGAAATGCACAGTTAATAGATTGGAAATGTATAAAAAATATTAGTCACCATTAGGCAACGTGGGTGCTGTTTTTTTTTATGTTTTAAACGTTGAAATATCTGTATATGTACGTGTGTGTAAGCTTTTCATTGTTCTTTTTATTCTTTAATAATTAATTTTATTTAATTTGGACACCACACACCATCAAAAGTGTTACGCCGTAAGTTTATTAAAATTCTTTAAATACGATTAATTAACGATAATTTTATCCATCGTTTTTATTCAAGTAGCAAAAAACAAATATAGTCGAGGAAGTAAATTCGCTTTTTTTTTCTTTTTTTCTTTTCTTTTCTTTTTTTTTTT